AATATAAATGGAAAAAAAATATTATATGGAATTGAACGAAAATGAAAATTTGCTTGATAATTCAACTACGCTTGTTGGAGAACAATAAAAACACTACACTCAACAAGCCACCAATAAAACTCAACTGCCTAACCTATAACCAAAGTCTCCTTTTAATTTGTTTTTAAAAAAAAGCGCTTGACAAACTTGTCCCGCATGCCGAAGTTGCCCCGGTCTCCCCTATATATATATATATATTAAACCTTAAATGGCAACTTAAACCAATACATTACTAATTTTACGAAGGAAGTACTTTATATCAATATTACACAGAAAAAATACTAAACACTTTCCGCCAACTCTGTTCAGGTAAGGAAGAAATTCAAAAAGAATGTTAGGAGTTACGAGTTATACAGAAAGCAAGTTATGATTACATTGTTTTTTATTTTCCAATTGTCAATGATAACATTTTATTCAGATATATTTCTTATTCTTCTATTTCTTAATTGTTCATTTTATAGTAGAAAAAAAGCCAATAATTAACAGAGTGAATAGTGTTTTTCATTAGTCTGTATGAAATAAAGATAACACATTTAATTTATATTCATATTAAGAATTATTCTTTAGGTTATTTTAGTTCGAAATAACATATTAAAACATTTATTCTAGATTTAAGCAAAATTCAACGAGTAATTAATATATTTTTTAAAACATTATTCATTGTAGGAAACGGAAAATAATCAAACTCAACGTGGTAATGAAAAAGTTAAGAAACCAGGAATTTCAGTTTATAAATCATACATCAATGCCGGAGCAGGACTTTTTTTCAAGATTGTTATCTTATCCATGTTAATTATATCGCAATCCTTTACAAGTGCCAGCGACTATTGGCTAATCAAATGGTATGATATTATTATAATTAATGTATACTTTAATACGTGAACTGTGTTTTTATATAAAATGTTTAATCAAAACATCATTACATAATGAAAGCCACATTCAGTTTACTATTATCACAAGTTTCATGTATGATGAATGAAAAATTTTGTGATTTGCAAGGAATATATTTTTCTAACCTATACATATTTCCTTATAAATATTATATATAAAATAAAATAAAATAAAATTTGTTTACTAGGTTAATCTATTTTGATCGAAATAAAGAGATTTTTTATACGTATATATACATATATACACGCACATATTTTAGGATGAACACAACTTTTAAACGCTTGAAAAATATAATTTATTGCTATTCTCGTATACGTCGACAAAACTTTTATTTTATGTGGACCCAACGGTATATCATTTTCTTCAAAACTATTATGAAATATTTAATATCTAAATGTTTAAAGGTGGAACGTTACAGGTTTACGCTTTTAATATTTTCCACGAGTTTTAACGATAGTTTGTAAAATAGTAAAACGTAGCTAGCTTTTCATTTATTAAGCAAGAGTTGATAATGACTCTTCTAGACATATTAAAACTCGAGAAAAACAAATTCCGTATGAAGGAATATAAAAAAAAAAAAAGTGATGAAAAACAGACAGGTAGCTTCTCACTCCAGTGATCACCCCACAGCAGCCAAATGACATCAGCTAAGTGAGAATAGCAGACTCTTTTACTCGTACCATGCCTTATAGCACCCCTGCCTGTGGGTCAGATCTTGAATATCCGATGATGCGCATCATAGGATTAAGGATAAAGTAGTTAGATGGTATGATGTAACAAAAGCTGAATAATGTCCAACCGATTAAATGCTGAGGATTTCTACACAATACAAAATGCCACACACGATTCTAAATAGAGATTGTCAAATTCCTTACAGTTAAAAATTGACTCTTTTTTTTTTTTATTCTTTCTTTCTACCTCTTTTATTCTTTCTTTCTTTTTCAGGTCGATTCTTTTCGGTAGATCTTTCTAATTTGGAAGTTGAAGAAGAGACATTGATGAGTGAAGCTTGAACGAATCGAACATTGGAAAATGAAAGTTGAGTTTTTCATCACTTTCTGTCACACTTGGTGCATCTTATGAAACTGGAGTTAATTAGTTCGTTTTCTCGAGTCTTAAAACCGTCAAATTACTTTATAAATGCTAAAATTACCTAAGAAGGATTGTGTTTTCTAAAAATGATTGCATAACAGGTGAAGGAACAAATTAATTCTAGATTTTTGAGTACCCTTCTAAGTAACTCAAAAATTTTATTAAAATTCCACGTTTTTTTTTTTTTTTTAAATATAACCTGCTATATATTAAGACAAATACAATCTTATGTTTAGTTTTATAGAAATTAATATTAAATATGTATAATAAAATAAAAATCTTATACAAAACTATGCATTTGAATTTTTTGTAGACAGTAGACATATAAAGGAAATTAATGTTTTTGACCTGATAATAAAATAATTTTAAAATAGGCACAAAAGTCTAATATTATGAAAATTGTTTATTAAAAAAAACACACATAGCTTAGTTTATAATTAATAAAACTATTAAAAGAAATCCAATTAAAAGCCATTAAATTTAGCACAGGGAAATTTTAGCGCTTACAAATTTTTAAAACTAGACACGTTAAAAAATATTATTTTTTAATACGTAGATTAAAAATTTTAGAAGCGATTTTAATTGATAATTTTCATGTAAATATAGTAATAATTATATTAAGACGAAAATAGTAAACTTTTTTAGAAAAAAAAATATCTTTATTGCCGATGATTAGTCTGTTTAATTACAATAATCCTTGCTGATTTATCCCGACGTAATCGGGACGGTCTATTACTTTATAGCTTCGACCTATTTATTTCAATGACGAATCATTTAAAAGAGTGGAAACCAGAGGCAAGACATCATCATTTTCTTAAGTTGTGACAAGGTATTTTTATCAGAATGCCCATACAATATCACCAGGATACGCAAGAAGACAAATGTACGATGGGATCATCCAGATTTACGACCTTACTTTGATTGCTATTACAGAAAACTGCAAGCTAGAAGGTGACAATCATTAGGCTGCCGGCTGGTAATTTTCTCGCCAACAGAGTTCGGGAAGGATGGTACGTTAATTACTGACCCTATCATTCCCTGTTATTAGAGTCAGGTAATAGGTTGGCTAGTCTGCCGAAAAGTTGCTGCTCACATAATGGTACATTAATCCCGTCACATAGTCGGTAAATACAGGGGGCAAAATATGTTTTCGTTCCCCCTGTTCTTTCGTAGTATGATGTTGTAAAGAGCAATGTTAGCTCGAAGGTGGAGAAAAAGTCAAAGACATGAGCATTACTGACAAACACAGGAGGTGTAAGGAAAATTGGTGTGTGCCAATGTGACATTTGCCTGAGGCCGATAGCAAAAGATAGTAGCTAGTGCATCTTCCTTCTCTAAGGGTATCCCCTAGCTTGATACATTCGTCTTGTCTCGTTATCGAGCCCTATAATAACATGTAATTAGTAATCTTACAGATTGTACTTTCTACAGAAAAAAATATAGCAATTTTTCCTCAAAATTTTAAGTCCTTTTCTCTCTCTCTTGCTCTCTGTTTAGTCAAAATATTTCCGGATGACTTCATTTTTTAAAAATATTTAAAAAGCGTTCATGCTTGGTTTATGGATTATTTTAAATTCTATAATTTATCATGTCTGGTCTAGTTGTGGTCTATTTATGAGATGTTATTTTAAATGTAATCGAATGAAAAATGACTTATTAAGTAGATCTATAATAAAATTTATAACTGGTTTTTTTTTTAAAATAGATGTTAAATTTAAATCCTGTAAATAAAAACAAACGAAATTTAATTTTAAAAGATTTTTTAATTCAAAACTTTGTACATTTTCCTTTATATCTGACTAAGTTTTTAAGGATAAAAATCTATAAATATAAATAAATAAAAGCGCGTTAATTTATCTGCTGGAGTTGATATTTATAAATTAAAATAGAGAATTAAATTTGAAAAATTGAAAGCTGCGTGAATCAGCATCAAAAAGCCAAACACGATAAGTCATTTAATCAGTAATATTAAGTGCAATTTTGGGAATAATATTTTGTGATGTGGAGTAATCATCGATAAGAGAAGCCGAAAATAGCTACCGAAGCAACTCTAAACTGTTGTTGACTAATTTAGTTGGTTTGATAATGTAGTGTGGGGAATTTAAATTCACTACGCAGCGTTATCCGGGATAGTTTAGACTAGAGCATCTTCTTTGGAACACACAAACGAGCTGCATCTCGATCTCTCACAACTGACAATGGTATCTGATACAGTTCCATTCAAATTACCTTCAGTTGCCTAAGAGATTGCAACGTCAGCCAAATCGGTGAATTAGCAGAGAAACGTGGCAAAAACTGACTAAAACAAATCAGAGAACATTTGTCAGTGATACGACAGTGACATAGGAGGGGAGTAATTTGAATGTAAACATGCTTCGTACTGCCTACATTACCACAACGATAAGTACCTGCCATAAATCACTGACTGTTGAGATCATTACCCGGGCTTCTAAAACTGATACTGGACAACCGGTTGAGAAAACTTCTCTAAGCATCTTCCAAGATAGAGACCGAAAAGTAAAGAAAAGGAAGAGAAGAGAGAGAGAACAGATGAGAGAAAGATTGCTTTGACGGATACGGTTAAGAAGAAGGAAGAAGAAGGGGGAAAAAATAAAGTAAACTATTTGCTTTTGCTGATGCGATATTTGCGAGTTTGCAATCATTTTGCGGATCAAATGATGAAGTCTAATGACTACCATCCCTTATGCTATCCTACTTAACTTGATGAGTAATACGATACTGTGGTATTATTAGTCGGTGCTTTTATCGGCAAATCTGTCTAGTTGCCTTAGTCACGTAGAGTCTTGTGTCGTCTAGTTATCTGTGTATCGGTTACAAGACTTTTCTGTCATGAGGCAAAAGTAGTCGATAAAATACCTAGCCATTTTGTAAGGAAATTTAATTACGAACACATTCTGTTCCATTAGTAATTTCTGCAAGAATTTCCGATGCTCGACGATCTAATAAAAGAAAATTTTTCAAAAATACTACTAACGAAAGCCAAAACATAAACATTAAATATCAAACTGGTAAATCGAGTGTATCTGTCGTTTACCACTGACTATTCTATGGGGACACATTGCGGGTCACTGAACCGCTGTCGTTCTCTTAAAGGAATCTTACAACTCACATACATATCTCTCTCTCATTTTCTGACCATTATACCGGAGCTGGTAACTAAGACGGAAGCAACTCTTTAGTGCCAACTATCTGATACTGGCTATAAAATAGCATAGCACTACATCATTAGAAGCATTGTGTCACTGACCAAACTATACAGTGGGCGGAGGAAGGACGGGGCGTAGTCGGATAGACACCCGGATCTTCGCCTCTTTCGGGCAACGGTAGTTGACCTCGCTCCACAACTTGACCAGTAGATTTATGTAAGATATACTTGTTGCTTCTGCAAGGGAATAAAAACAGAAAACAATAAAAAAGAAATTTTTTTAAATAATAAAAATAAACTAGAGCGTATGACGTCATTTAAATATTACACCCAATATAAACAAGACAAAAATGTCTCTTTTATACAGGTTTCTACATATATCACTCTATAAAAAAAATAAATCGATAATTAATAGTTATAAAGCTTTATCGTACATATTAATTAGTTATATTTATTTAACTCGACNAACTGGAACTAGATCTCACATAATTTCTTCTTTTAATGCCAAGCACTGTAGCAATAGATTCCAACATCTGTTTCCTTAGCAGATTCTTATTACATTGAAAGAAATGTCAATGTGTGGGAAATATTGCTCAGTAATTTTAGGCAAAATTAATCTGTAATAGAATTGATCATATGGGTAAGTGATGGCAATGTCGTCTACAGTTATACATCTTACGATAAATGACGGGAATCTGGCTTAAATTTTCACTGTAACTCTTTCATGTATGTATGCAAATATATTACTTCATCAGCATTCGGTAGATGTAAACATCGTTTATATGTATTTTTTTAATGCACTTAAGTAATTTAAATGTATAGTAGAGCGTAGTTTATCTGAAAGTTGGTAATCCGAAACGTGAGTTATCTGAAAGAATTCCAGTCGGCAAATTTAAATTTTCGCTAGTGCTGTGGCGCTGCAATCTTTGGCTATATCTCGGGCTACTCCAATATTTTTATGTTGACGTATGTGTTTTAGCTGGCAGCACTAGCACTTTCGTGTGGTGTTTTTTTTAGGACTGTGTGTCGTGGTGAATCGAACGTTTTAGACACTAGATTAACTTCTGAAGAATGATTTTTTTTGTTTTTATATTTTTCAATATATTATTTTTTTTTTGTAAAAAGTAAAAAATAATTTTTAACGATACAATAGCCACGATTATTATTTTAAAAAGTTTACATTAGTCTTAACATCGACGAAAATTTAACGTGAAGCGACACGCAACGGAGAAAAATTTCAACATGGGATAGGTTAATACAGTAGAGCATTGATTATCCGACCCCCGATTAACCGTCACATCGGTTAACCGACCGTTCTAGTCGGCAAATTTCAAATGTCCTCTAGTGATGTGGCATTACGATATTTGGGTATGTTTTGGCTACTTTAATATTATTTTTGTTAAATTTTTGCGTATTTTAGCTGGCATCAACGGCTCGACCATTGAAAGGAGGCCAGTATTTAAACGAGACTTAATTTTCTAATTATTAATGATTGTTTGTTTTGTTAGCAATAAAATAATTTAAAAATAATTTTTAACCATACAATAGCGATGATTATTATTAAAAAAAGTTGTTAGGCTAAACATCGATGAAAATTCAACGCGAAGTTGGTTAATAGCGATATACCAATATACTAATTACAAGGGATATACTAATATACTATACTAATAATTTATTTTTTCATTATTTTCGGTTATCCGATTTATTCAGTTATCCGACCAACCTGAGTCTCCAATTAAGTCGGATAATCGATGCGCTACTGTATATCTTTTCGTACATAATCGGTTATTCGAAAATAAGTTATCCAAACGACCCCAGTCTCCAATTGATTAGGATAAACGACGCTCTACTGTATTTCATTCTGTTAAAGAAATATAATTATCACAATGTGCAGTTGTTATTTTATTTTTACTTTTCAGGTTGCAAGATATTAGAATCTATAGCCACAGCATAGAGAATTTCGAAAATATTACATCTAACACAAGTGTTTTTCACAACATTGAATACAAAAATTATTATCACACTGAAGAATTCAACATGTATGTTTACGTTGGATTGATATGTGCCGTATTTCTAACGACTTTAGCTTCTGGATTATTGGTATACAGATTCTTTACAATTGCTTCTTTCAAGCTGCATAACAATATGTTTCGTTGTATCATTCGAACTCCAATATCATTTTTGGATAACAATCCCGTTGGTATGTAAAATCTATTTATTTATTTTATTGTTAAGTTAATGAAATTCGGAAACAAATTTTTCGATATTATGTAACTTGCATAACTACACGTGTTGCTTATACTTTTATTTTTCGTATCACAAATATTCGTTACTGGTTAACATTATAGCATTTGATGTAAAACTTGATAGCCTAATACGTGTTGTATTCGACAAAAAAATGACTGGTGAAACTAGGCTAAAAAAGTAAAGCTCAGCAAAATCAACTAAATAAATGAAAATTTTCAAAGTTGTGGCATAAGAATAGTGTAACGACATTTGTTGGTAACACTCAATATGTGAATACAATAGACATTACGCAGACTATACAGAAAGTTTTGTATAAAGCATTGCCACCGTGATCATACAGCAAAAAAAAATATGCATCTTCGCAGAAAAAGGCTTCGAGCTTTCCTTTGTATCTCGAACTTTTTTCACTCTTACTGCTGAAAGGAGCACTAATATTCAACCAAATTATTGTAAGTGCAACAATAATAAGGGGGAAAGTAATACTGAAAATCTTTTTTGTGACAATGCGTATTTTTCCGATTTATTATCCTGGTGACATTGCTTATTGTCCACGCTCGAGCTTTTCTCGTCCATGTTACACAGCGTTACATAAAAAACGGTTTTTTGGACCCTCTAAAAAATATACATTTACTTATTTTCTTATTATTTTTAAGTCCCCAAATTAAAAGAAAATTCTTTCTTACGCGAAAAAATTTTATCGCGATTTTAGTCATCCTATAATGACGCACGATTAACGCTTAGTTGTTTTTTATCGGATTTTTTATCAAATTTCATTCATCGTTCTAAAGTTCTAGCGCACGGATTTTACTTCAATAAAGTTGTTTAAAGCTACTTTCTAATATCCTAAACGACCTCTAATAGTGTTTTAATTGTTTTGATTAATAGATTTTATTAAATATACGTTTAATTAAATTGGGGAATCGGAAATTGCAATAAAAAACATAATTTACTAAAAATGTTTAGAAATATACGGCCAGCTAGTATTCACCCTACTTTAAACCCTTCTCCTCCTGAGACTTCTATGAGAATGTTTCATGAAAAAAAACACCAGCTGTTCACAAGGTCACCCAGCTGTAAACACAATTATTCATTGGTGTCAGATTTCGCAGAAAGTCGAGACAACAGAAAATAAACTTTGAAGCTTTCTCTTCAAAATTAACGCATTTCTTTCGTTTTTTTCAGTTTTATGTTTAATTATATTAAAATTAAATATTCCTCAATGAAAATAGAATGAAATTGGTTAAAAAATTTTGTAATTGTTGTCTGTGTGATTTACACTTTGTTTACATGTTGAATTTTAATGTCAAATATGCTTTCAGTATTCTTATGACACAACTTTCGAAAATACTTTATTTACACATTTTTGCTGAGTTTTTCGACTTGGTTTCAACAGTACTCTTAATGGATTTTAAGTATTTTTCTGTTATTGATAACTTCACGAGACAATATATTTCATGACAATTCTATATTTGTGTGGCACTCACGGGATAGCATGAAGATATTTTCAGGATCTCAGAGATCAAGTATAAAATCTTTGGAGATGATCGGGTTTAGGAATTAACAAGGGTGTGAAATCAAGAGAGGGTGAGGGTGTCCAGGTTTTCGTGGAAGTCTATATTTCCATCGGGGTCCCATAAAATAAGTATGAAAAATTTCATACAGATTTACAAAAAGCTGAGGACAGAGAGAGAAACAAACAGTTTGTCTTTTATACAGATAAAATACCAAGGAAGAGAGAACCTGGAAGCAAAGAGGACAAATTAAACTGAATGAAAAATTATTATCGGATATAGATATAGCTTTAGATACTTGTAAACAGAATTATGAAAAGATCTAATAAGCAAAGAAATAATTAAAAGAATACAGCCAGCTGGAGGCTTCAATGTCTAATTTGATCTGGAAAATGATGTGCCATTCAAATGTAAAAAGTCCTTTATCAATTATGCATTACATGCTGAGTTAGACGAAAAGAAACAAAATAAAGAATAAGGAAATAAGGAAAAGAACAACAATGGTAAATTTGTTGAAGAAAAAAAAAGAAATTAGACTGAGATAATTTAGACATAACAAGACAAAGTAAGAAAATACAAAACCAAAGATAGTATTAAAGAAGAAATTGAGTAAAAAAGACCTAGGGGAAAACTCAGAAAGATGTGCATAGACAAGATAGCTGAAAACCTAGTATCACTGGATTAAAGACAAAGAAGTAGAAGAAAGTAATGAAAATTTGTATCTATACACAGTGGTAAGCAAAAGGTCTCCAAATGCGCAGTGTCAAATTATATACGATTCCAGTACTTTTATTTGTTGAACATATACATAACAGCCAGAAAGGTAACATAGGACATTATTTAACACAAATATTGTATTTTTGAGTCACTATGCTTATATTATTTAAGAAAGTTCTTAAAAGTAATGGTAAAACGTCATGTCACTTGATAGCAATTGATCAATAGCTTGAACTTCGTCATACGACAGAACATGTTAATCTTTCAATAACTTAGTTAATTTTGCTGGCAACAAGAAATTTAATAATGTTATTAAAGTACAAAATAAAACGTTAACTCTGATTTTTAAGCATATTCATTTTCGACAGTTCGTTGTTCATTACTGTAAAAATCATAACTAAACAAAAAAGATACAAATAATGTCTCTTGCCCGTATAATACAAGCGTAAGAATACTACCAAAGGCCATTGTCGAATTTTTCTTTAAGATGAATAATTTGAACAAGATTTGAACGATTTATATTGTTGATTTGTATCAATGCCACTGCCTCTGCTTTTGTGTTTCTTGGGCTCTATTGAGTTTTTTCCTACTGTTTTTTGTCATTTTAGATAGTATTTGTGTTACTGCTTAGATTTTCAGTCAGTTTTTCGTTTTCAATAGGCTGGATTTTTCATTTTAACGTGTTATTCATTTGTTAGGCTTAAGATTAGGCTTCGCTTCAATCATTGCTTGTTGGTAAAACTTTAGACATTTCAAAATAAATAATTCATTCTCAATATTACATAAATGATTGACCAGTGCTCTCGTGGTTACCCCAACATTAATTTTTTCGATAGCAATAGATTATGTGGATTATATACATTAAAAGTTTCAATATTATCATCATAATTTGGTAATATTTTTGTTTCAATAAAATTAGAGGCTAATAATTTAATAAAAAGAACACTTTTTATGTAAAGATGATATATTAAGAACTTTTCAGATTGGAAGAAAACATTAAACTGATTGAATATAAATAATATAAATTTTAAAAAATTATTATTTTTTAAATTTATATTGCTTATATTCAATAAGCTTAAACACGTAGATTCTGCATTTGATTAAAAATAAACTGACAATGTTTGTTTTTTCCTTCAAATTCTGCGACTCGAAAAACATCAGCAACACATCCCTATGTAATGACGAACGATGTGTTTTCTTCATCTCCCAGCGACAAAAACATGGAATGAAGAAATAGTGTCATCGTTTGTTCTCAAACCCCCTCTGGCTTTGTGTCGTCTCGACATTATTGTTGTCTTTACTTACAAGTTAGTGAGTTATCAGTATATAAGTTTTGTCTCTATAGTTTCCTGAAACAACTTAAAGAAATGTGAGTTCGACCACAAGCAAATTGGATTCCTCTAACATAAAAATTATGACAGTGTATAATTACACTTTGAAAGACTTTTTTACATTCCTGAATTGCAAATACAGTAAAGCGTCGATTATCCGAAAGTCAACCATCCGAAACGTCAATTATCCGAAAGAATTCCAGTCGACAAATTTAAATTTTCGCCAGTGCTGTGGCGCTTCAATCTTTGGCTATGTCTTGGGCTACTCAAATATTTTATGTTTTTGATACTAAATTACCATCTAAAGTATAATTTTATTTATTTTTTATATTTTTCAATATATTTATTTTGTTTGTACAAAATAAAAAAATAATTTTTAACGATATAATAGTATTTGTTAGGCTTAACATCGACGAAAATTCAACGCGAAGCGACACGCAACTGAGGTTTTTTTCCCGGGATCCCAGGATCCCGTTTTCCCGGGATTCTCACAGTTTATTCCCTACGAGAAAAATCCCGGGAAATTTTATTTTCCCGGGAAATCTCGCATTTCAATAATAATTTACCATGTCAGGTTTTCTTTCTTTTATTTATTATACGAAAAGTTGCATCTTGAAGATTCAACTAAGAGAGAAATTTTGAGATTTCTTGCTGCATATTATTACCTATGTTTTACAAGTCTCTACTTGTTAGTTCATGTAATATCTATGTATTGTGTTTGCGCATCATTGAACAGCGGAGCCTTGCTGAAAGTAAATATCACTCATCGCACTTTAGTT